TAAAGAATCCTTTAATAAATTACTTGCAGAAATTGATGAACCCCAGAAATCGGTGCGTTCATCCTTGAGTGCAGTCCAGCTGAATATTACCCATCTGGGTCGGATGGGTCGGACAGGGATTCTAACTCTGCCAGTTCACTTTAATGTTGTCATTTAGGCTGAGCTGGAAATGATCATGCTGAGTGGCACTGTTCCACTCAGCATCTATTACAAAGCATCGGAACTCCGTGGTGTAGCTAGCAACTGGCTGGCATCATTGCAGCAACACCTGAAGTGTGACTTTGGCCGTACGTTCGTGACGTGGGTCATCGACGATCACCTCCATAGCCTGAACAAAGACCTCAAACTGTTCCAGAAACAGGCTTGAGTCTTCCAGGAGCAGAGAAGCCCAAGCCAGGGACTCCCCACTGAGCAGGCTGATAATCAGCCCCACTCAGGCTTGGTCAGTAGGTACAACGTAGCAGAAATAGGAGCAGATACAGATTTAGGAATCCACAAAATTTGCCACGATCACCATCAAACTTGCCAGGTGTGGGAGCTTGGGTTGGAGCTGAAGGCGTGGCAGGACAGCATTCTGCACCTGCAGGGTGGCAACCTGGGCCTGCAAGGTCCATAGGGCTCCCACTCTCTGTCAGAGAGATAATGGCCTTTGTAGGGTCCATGTTCACCATATCAGCTCCAGTTCCCTGTTTTGGGGCTGCTCAAATTGTCCGTGACTGAGACGTGGACAGTCGTACCTAGTGGTTAGAGCCGGAGTCAGCCGTCAGGAACCAGAGCCAAGGGTCAAAAGCAGAATCAGAGGCCAGATGCCAGTGCTGAGGGTCAGACCTAAAGTCATAAATCAGGAATCAGAGCTGAGAAATCAGAGCCAGGTTGTGTGGAGTGAGGAAAGGCTGGGTCCAAGGCAGCAGATGGGCTGAGACCAAGGAAGCAGAAGGCCTGGCTCCAAGGATGGAAAAAGGCAGGAGCATGGCTGGGATGAGGCAGGTACAGGAGCTATCACAGTTGTGGGTGAATGCTTTGAGCACCCACCAAACTGCTACTGCTGGGCTTAAGAGCTTCTGCTGACTCTTCCCACCAATCAGTCTGTGTAGTCAATCAGGCAGCCTACTACAGGCCAGTTGCATTCATTAGGTTGTCCTGAGGCTGGCTCTGCTGCGGGCCCCGATTCCGGTATCTTCATCTATCAGCTGCACCTGTTGTGTATGTAATAGAATGTAGGAGAATAAATTGTGGGGGATTATAGGGATACTGCAAGTGTGATGACAGTGTAGGGGAGCCAATATATGCATGCATTTCACACTGCTAGCTACAGCCCTACAAGCTGGTTTTAGTCAAGTAGAACTCACCAAGGAAGCAGGCACATGCAACTCTGTTTTAGTGCTATTTAATTATATAAGATTTAAGGGTATATTCTCCCCTCATTGCTCACGCGGACCTTCACTTTTGACACTAATATGGCCTTGGCCTTACCAGTGAGAGTTCTATGCTGAGATCTGTAACTATTTTACCAACAGCTTGTTCCTATTCCTAGCATATTGTGATTCCATCATCTTTTAGGTTCAGCTGCTCACAAACACCTTAAAAAGTGAAGGCTTATCCTGCTAAGTATCTCCTGAGTGTCCTCCACTGAGAATGGAATCAGTGAAAATTGAGGATGTTCAGAATTTCACAGAAGGCACTCAAGGGGGATTTTCAAGAGAGCTCAGCATTGATCCAGCTCTGTTCCAATTGGAGTCAAAGATAAAACTCCCTTTGATTTCAACAGGAGCAGAGTTTGGCCAGTGCTGAGCTGTTCTGAAAATTCCACACACTGTGCTTTGCAAGTTTAGGCTCTGAGTCATGCCTTCTTAATCTGATATATTTTGTGTGTTCACTCATGGTTCACTAGTATGGAAATATCTAAGAGTCAGACTTTGCAAGAAAATGTCACAAAAGGCAAATCTAAAATGTGTCTAATTAAAAATAGAATATAAAGATACAACAGGTTTCCTCCTACACTTGTTCTCAGACACCACATTCTACCCAATATTCGCTTTGTGTCCCTTTCTGTGATCTCACTTCTCACTGCCTTTTTTACTTTGCTTCCCCCTAAGCTTTGAAGAGCCTTCTCCTTCATTTGTAACAGCCCTCCTACATCTCTGTGTGGAAATCTCTTCTGAAAACATAGTTGGGCACTTAGACTATGGTGGTCTGCTCCAAACCTCTTTCTTTAATAGTCTGCATAGTATTCATGTGATTCAAATTGTACTTTGCTTTGGATGGGAATCTATCAAAACTATGTGTTTTGTAAAATATCAACACATCTATGGCACTTTTAGTAAGATAAGCACTGGAATTTTTATAGCAAGATGTCTAATACTAATAGGACTAAAACATAAGTTTCATTGTATACGACTGTATTACTTCACACCATTACTTTGCAATCCTGGTTCTGAAGCTTGCTGTAAACCTAGAAAAAATAAAACCTGAAACATGGACATTTTAAAATCCTGTATTCCTGCTTCAATGCTGAGAATTATTTACAAAAGAATGCAGTACAAAATACTTCCCATAAACATTAGTTTATTCATACAAGAGGACAAATACAAATGTTTGTAATTACCAGCTTGTAAAACCTAGGAGTAAATGCAGAGACAATTCAAATACTCACAATAGTGTAAAATCCTGGAAAGTGCTCTTATAGAAATGACAGAAGTAATTTGCATTTATAATATCTTTCTACAGAATGTCTCAGGCTGCTTTACAAATAAAACAAAAGTTTTCAGCACTTGGTATGGTTAAAAACCACTGCTGAGATATTTTTGTGGGAAAAGATGTTAACAGAATACAGGATATGAATTAACTGATATCAGCACTCAATGAGAAACTCAATATAAAAATGGTTAAACCTAGAGGGTATGGACCAAGGTCTCTCAAGAAAACTAGCTGTAGTGACAGAGCTCAGGAATTGTCTACACACAGAGTTGTAATGGTTTAACTGAAGGTGTGATTTTAAACCAATGCAAAGGCGAAGAGGACACTTATTTCAGTTTACTAGGCTTATTTTGGTTTAGTTTAAGTCTATTAAGATCAGGTTTAAGCTAAATCAAAACAAGACACTCTTAAATGAAAATCAGTGTGTCCATATTGGGGCTTGCTAAACTGAATCAGTTTAACATTACACCTTAAGCTAAACCAGTGCAACTTTCTTGTGTAGACAAGTCCTCAGAAAATTGTTAAAGGGGACTTACTGGGTTAAGCACTCTGTTTTATCTGGATGAGGTCTGACTTGTAGAGGAGCCAGCTCTAATGGACACTCAGGGTCTAGTCCAGGGGTAGGCAACCTATGGCACATGTGCCGAAGGCGGCACACGAGCTGATTTTCAGTGGCACTCACACTGCCCGGGTCCTGGCCACCGTTCCAGGGTGCTCTGCATTTTAATTTAATTTTAAATGAAGCTTCTTAAACATTTTAAAAACCTTATTTACTTTACATACAACAATAGTTTAGTTATATAATATAGACTTATAGAAAGAGACCTTCTAAAAATGTTAAAATGTATTACTGGCTCGCAAAACCTTAAATTAGAGTGAATAAATGGAGACTCGGCACACCACTTCTGAAAGGTTGCTGACCCCTGGTCTAGTCAAACCTGTCTGAATTCCTTTATATTGCAGAACAGCTGTTCTAAAGGAGGGTCAGTGCTGAGACTCACCTCTATACAGTCAAAGGCTAGTGACTTTGGGATAAGGGACTTCCCTGGTGAAAGGAACAGATGATGATGGAAGCGATAGTGTCCTGAAAGCAAGGAGACAGCAACCAAGGAACAAAGAGATGGGAATTCACTTCTGCTGCTGGAATGGATCATAGGGGTCCATCACAATCAGTCCACAATTTAGTGGAGCCCTATATGCTGCTCTAACCTGCACCGGGGCCAGGATTGGGGACAGGCATTGCCTCCCTTCTCAGTCCTTGTGCCAGGTTCATCACTTGCACCAGGGGAAACAAGTCTAGAGAAGAGAGTGGGTTTTTTGACGCTGATGTTTTAGTTCAAATTTCTGCAAGTGGAATTACAGAACTTCAAAATAAACAGGATTTTTGTAAATACATTAAATCAATGGCACTAGCAAATACCCTGATCTAGTGTCACCAATTTCTCTCCTAATGGGAAACTGATCTGCTATCACTGGGCAAAGGGGTAACAGGTTCTATCAGGCTCAAATGTCAAGAGAAACTGGGCATCCTAACTAGTAATGAATAGAAAATCCATTATTGCAAAATAGTTAACATAAGAACATAAGAATGGCCCTACTGGGTCAGACCAAAGGTCCATCTAGCCCAGTATCTTGTCTTCCGACAGTGGTCAGTGCCAGGTGCCCCAGAGGAAATGAACAGCACAGGCAACCATCAAGTGATCCAGCCTGTCGCTCATTCCCAGCTTCTGTCAAACAGAAGCTTACAAAGGGCCCTGGCTCCATTGATATAAGTAGAGATGGGCCCAAGCCATAAAACTGAGAATCAATTTTCCCCAAATTTCTGGGATGTTCAGATCTGGGTTTTGGCTTTCAGCGCATCTCTAAACACAAGATTACCATTGGGACAAACCAACATGTTGATTCTGATCATAATAAAGGGTTGGGCTGTCAGTGGGATTTGAAGGCATCTAGCACCCCACAGGAGAAGCTCTGCCTGCTTTGTTGTTGTCTGTTGTGAAATGCTATGTACAAAAAGAAAGCTACATACAACAATTTGTTATTTCTAGTCAAACTGCAAGGGAAGAATTTATTCTGGTGACATAGTGGTAACACTGAAAAAGTTCATTCTGTACAAGAGCTGTTACCAATTGCCGCGATATTCCCCATTGCTAAGCACAGGGAATCTCTCTCCAACCAGCAGAACCTTTCAAAACAGGAGACTCATGTTCAGTGCAGCCACCATTTATTCATTTAATATTTGCATGAAATAATTCATCCCTCATTTTTCTTTTCCCTTGCCTTCTCTCTCTCTCTCTTTTCAGATGTTAACAACAAGTAATCCAGATGGGGTGCAGGTGCTGTAAAATGATACAAAGGTAAAGCAGAACAAACGGTGGTTGGAATCAGAATAAAATAAAAGCTTGTTCAAAATAAATCCATTCTCATCTGCATTCATCCTTTAGGTTAAGGATATTTACCATGTTGCAAATAATCCAGGAATTTACAGTTTAGATCAATTAAGGCATTTTGAAGCCCAGAATGCTGATTTCCTGTAAACTTCATGTTGGTTTATTTTAATTGAGTTTCATCTCTTCAGCTGCCAACCCACAGAAGCTATGTGGCAATGGAGGCAAATTCTCACTGTAGCGTTTTCCCACCTCAGTGGCAAGAAGCCAGACTAGTTCAGTGGGTGGGGGAAGCTGTAGGATCCATCATCTTCTAAACACTGGAAATGTGCTGTAAATCTGCAGGTAGGGCAGAGACAGCTCCATGAAATCCCCCACCTTTCATCCCTGTTTCCATTCCATTGTATTCTTCACAATAACTGGCTTTGGGCAGGTCACATGGTAAAGGGCTTTCAATTTAGACAGCCTGAGAGCCCAAGCTTCTCAATGCTCCACACCATCCCCATCACCATGTACTCCTGGGGGAACTCACTCCCCTCCCCCGCAGTCAGAATTCCCCTGCCCCGATGAGCCCCACTCCCCCTGCACCTGGACCACCCCGATGAGCCACCCTCACCCGGATCCCCCAATCAGCCGCACCTGGATCCCCACCCCACTGAGAACCACTCCCCCAACCAGGGCTGGCTCCAAGTTTTTTGCCGCCCGCGCCCCCTCCAGCCCCGTCCCCACCCCATTCCAACCCCTTCCCCAAATCCCTGCCCCACCTCCTCCCCCCGGGCACGCCGCATTTCCCCTCCTACTCCTCCCTCCCAGGCTTGTAACCCTGGGGGAGAGGGGGCAGAGGAACTGCCCCCCACCACTGCAGCTCACCTCCGCTCTGCCTGCTCCCCTGAGCGCACCGCCGCCGCTCCGCTTCTCCCCTCTCCCAGGCTTGCTGCGCAAATCAGCTGTTTTGCAGCAAGCCTGGGAGGGAGGGGGGAGAAGCGGAGCGGCGGCGGCGCGCTCAGGGGAGCGAGCGGAGCGGAGCTGAGCTGCGGCGGTGGGGGGTGGTTCCTCTGTCCCCCCCAGGGTTACTTCCTGCAGCCCTCCCCGCGCCCCCCACTGCCACAGCTCACCTCTGCTCAGGGCCGGCTCCCGGCTTTTTGCACCCAAGGCGTAAAAAAAATAAAAAAAAAAAAGAGGAGCCGGAGTGCCGCCCCTTGGAAAAGTGCTGCTCCAAGAACATGCTTGGAGCACTGATGCTTAGAGCCAGCCCTACCCCCAACATCTGACCCCCCCACTCGAGTCCCCCACACCGAGACCACCCCACCAAGCTCTATCCCCCCCACATCCAGACCCCCTTGCTGAGCCCAACCACCTTCACCCGGACCCCCCTGCAGAGTCCCATTACTGTTGCATCCAGAACCCTCCAACAAGCCCCCATGGATCCAGATCCCCCCGCACCCAAATCCCCCACTGAGCCTCCCACACAGAATCCTCTCAATCCACATCTGGATCCCCCCACACTAGCCCCTCCACACTTGGATCCTGCCTTGCTGAGCCTGCCTGCACACCTATTGCACCTGGCATGGAAGGGCAGGGCCATGGGGTGTTTCTGGGGCAGGCCCGGTCCTTGCGCTGTGTCAGGGTTCGGTGCAGCCTCACCATTGAGTTTGTGTTCGGAGTGGGGGGAGCTGCACAGTGATCTCCCACCTCTGGGCAGCCAGTGGCCTGTGCTCCCCAAGGCCATGCTGGAACCTCCACATTTGACAAATAAAATTTGCAGAATTTTAAAATATTGTCTGCAGAATTTTTAATTTTTTGGCGCAGAATGCCTTCAGGAGTAACCATGGTGAGTGAGGGAAATGGGGAAGGAAACAAACTACCAGAGAAGATAAGGGGGGAGGGGGCATCGTGAAGAAAAAACAAGAACACCTGTGTCAGAGCAATAAAAAATAAAAAAAACAGAAATGGAAAAGGAGTAGAGGGGGTAAAAAAATGAATGGAAAAAATAAAAAGAGGGGAAACAGAAGGGAGATGTGAGAGAGAAAATGCTCAGCGGGAAGGAAAGATGATGGCAGCTGGGTCAGGACATGATCACAGGGAACATCTACGGGGTGCCCACCTGCTAATCAAGCCCCCAGGGGATAAAAGCTGGGAACAACTGCGTTGTTATAAGGTGGAAGGACTTCTTGTCCTGTGGCTGCGACATACCCAGTGAGGCATTCCATGGCCTCTCTGTCCCGAAGCCTAATTGTTCTGTAGCATTCAGTCTCTTGAGAAAATGACCACAACTAAGTACGTGTATTTTACGATTCGTACACAATACTGTAAGTCGGGCATAGTTGCGTTAGTTGTTTAATCTCAACACGTCAGAGTTGGGTGTAATCAGTTTTCAGTTTCTAACAGAGAAAACATTAACTGGTAAAATTCTCCTTTCCCCAGCTATATCTTTGCTCCAGAAGATGTACAATCCTCAAGATACCCCAATGAAGTAAACAGTTACAAACCAGACAAGCATGACAGCAATAAATTCAAAGGCGATCAGAACAGTGAAACTCCGGTGCATAAAAATGAACTGCAAAATGATGAATTAAAGAGAACAGAAAATAAAAACAAGTTCAATAGCACAAAAGAGGCCTTCCGGAACCACAGAGGAACTGCTCTTGGCGAGGAAGGGCTAGGAAACTGTGTTGGAAAGTTTGACAATGCTCACAGTGGTGTCAATTCCTGTAGTGGTACGCATCCCCTTCCTAATCACAACACAAACCGAACCAAAGAAACCATCACACATGGAAATTCCAGCCAGTCAGCAAGTTCTTCTTTAGCCAACAGGACAAGAGACCTCTGCACCAGTGGACTCTCTTTACCAAATGAATCTGGCAAAGAATGTGACCCAGAAACAGGCGATCACAAAAAGCCAGAGTCAGAAGAGCCAGAATGTTCTCTAGATGAGAACTCACAGTCTGCAGGAGAAAACAGCTCTCTCACAGAAAGTGCAATACTGGACACACAAAACGATGCCATCCAATTACCAGACCTGGATTACCTCCCACATGGTAGCCAAACCAGAATCTATCATGCTCCTGAAAAGGACAGTTTTTCAGACAATTACACACATTCAGACCAAAATGCAGAGTCTACAGTGATAAATAAGGGTGAGGACCCTGGCCTAAACCTGCCTTTGCACATGAAGGAAAATTATGATTCAGTGGAGGAAGCTCTTAAAACTGAGTCTGTAAATGTGTGTGTCAAAGAGGACATGCCTGATGGTATTGCATCTGAGGGCCTCATAATAAAAGCACAAGAGGAAGAGCACATTAACCATAAAGAAATTAATGGAAAAATTGAGGAGGAGGAGGAGGACGCAGAGGTGGCAGAAGCTCTTGCAGCGCTGGAAGCTGCAACTGCAGGGGAAGATTATGAAGAGGATGAGGAGTATTAGATGGAGAGTTCTTTCTTTCTAACACATTCATAGTAAACTTAGTTCTGGAGCCGTGTGAAACACTATTGAATGCATGTGTTGTACAGAACAGACAATTATTGTATAAAGCACAAAAACAAAAGGAGCTGGGACTAGAATGTTGATCATTTTAGCTGCTAAAACACAGTCCTTTACCACCTGAACTGAAGAACTCCCTTGGCTTCTGGTAGTAATAAGGCCCATCTCTTTCCCATAGGCCACAAACAAGGGTGTAGCATCACTCACACAAAGCCAGCATGTTACAATATAGTTCACGTGAAGGTTTTCTTCAGTTGACTCAAGGGCTTGCACACACACTTCAAGTTTCAGGTTCAAATGAATCTCAAAGCACAACTATAAAAACCAGAGTTTCTCCATTTTCGGAACAAACCGTACAGAACCACAGAATTGAATTATTTAAGTGTAAAAATATACAACTGACCCTAGGTTCAGAAAACCTTTCAGCAAACTTGACCTGGGATTCTAGTTTGTTGCAAAGCATGAAACCAGGCAAGTTTCACATGGTTTGGGTTTCACTGTGACTGCATCTCACAGTTCTGCTAATTTCTTAGTCACAATCTCTTGACTCACACATTGTTTACAAATGGATTTTGCCTCAGAGCCTCCCAGAAGAAGCAAAACCCATTTGTAAAAAAAAAAACAGCGAGGGCTAAATTCATCCTGGTGTAACTGGACAGCAGTCCCTAGACTTACAGCAGGGAGACAACTGGCCCTGAATCAAGTACCTACACTTTAGAACTTTTGAATCTCTACTTTCAGAAATGTTTACCCTTTCTGGATAATTTCAAATTTTTAATTTTTGGTTAGTATGTTAAACTTCCTCTTGTACAATTTCTGGTTGGAAGCCTAGGAGATATGGAAAATAAACACTTCATGTTTAAAGTCACCAAATGTTGGACGCTGTCGAATGGCTGAAACAGAAAATGTGCTCCAAGTTTTATATTGAGAATTGGTGGCTCCTGAATTGATTATAAACTGTTAATAAAATAATTGTTTTAAAATTTAAAGAACCATTATCTGTTGACTTTTATACTTTGTTAGGTTTCTAAATTATGCAACAATTGCTAAGAAATAAACTTTCAAAGAAACTTAATATAAAACCCATCCTCAATTAATGTGTGTGAAAATTACCAACTGTTATGTCCCCTTTGCCTGTGCAATATATGGTATTTGCCGCCAGTCTATATGCCAACAGTCTATTCAAGTGAGGAAATGACAGTGGTACTATGCCATTGTAATTCTGCTAATTTTAGTTGCTGGATCAGAATTCTGAAGGTAGAGCTCATATCTGATCTATACTAAGACCTTTAATCTGTAGTCTTTACTTAGACCTAAACTATACTGAAAATTTAGGTTGACAGATACTTTGGTAAGGTGTGTGAAAAAACACACCCCTAACTGACCTAGCTATGCTTACCGAACTCCTAGCAAAGATGAAGCTATGTCGACGGAATGATGCTTCCGTCGGCCTAGCTACCATGATGCGGGGTGGCGTTGTTCCCACGCTGTTGGAAAAACCCCTTCCCATCCATCTACGCTGAGTCTACACAATGAGATTAGGCCAGCGTAGCTAGAGCAACATGGCTATGCCAGCAGTCACCAATGCACAGACATATCCTTAGTTTTTCCCAAATAAGTACTACAGGATTAAATCCATATTTCTGCTTCTCCAATCACTACACACAGTCCTGCTAATAGTGATTTAAATCCCTGCTTCAAGAAAGCTAAACATAACTGAAAATGAAAAAGTTGGCACATTGTATCTTTAAAATAAAAAAAGCTCCATGTGTTCTTAATACAGAACATTAGTCTCAAAAGAGTGTCCTTTTCCTCTGCCTCTCCGGCAGTGGCTGCATTTCAGTGAGAAGTGAACTTACTCTTGTATGTGTATAGTCTGTAAAGTGCCCGGATGAAAAGCACTATATGAGTGAGATATTTTTGTGAAACTGAGACGTGTTAAATGATAATGTTTAGTAAGGCAAAGTTATACTTACTAAATCTTTTCATATTATATATATATATATATATATATATACACACACACACACACACTATATACACACACACGTATATATTACTATAT